TTAAAAAAAAAAAAAAAAAAAAAACTGGTGCCCCAAAAAAAAAAAAAAAATCTTAAGCATTCATCGCCAGAAAAAAGAAACCACACGAAGATATATCCATCCAAAAAAGAAAATAAAAATAGAAGAAATGATCTGTAATAAGAAATAATTTCATTTCATCTAAGAAATAAAGCCCTAAATCAGATCGAAACTAAGTAAGGGTTAGTGAGAACGAGAACCAATTCCAAAGGCCGATCTTGAAGGGATCGGACTTGCGGAAGGAGAAATTCGAGAGAGTTTCGATCCGCCATTGGGCCAGCCGGGGCGTAGTTTCGACTCTGAACACAGACTCGCTCATCCCTGATGATGATGCAGCCGCTGCAATGGCAGCCATCACTTAATTAATGCCGTACGAATTCCACAGAAGCTCTCCGCTCATATCCCTCCTCTCTTCCTCCTAACAAAAAATCATCGTCGATAAGGAAACAGGAGCAATCAAAATCCACAGATTTGCTCTCACTTTCCAAGTCCCCAGAGTATTGCGATAGAGGTTTCCTGTTCTTCCGTTAGAAGTCCGGCACGCGACCTGTTGGGAATTTCTACAATGCCAATAACCAAGAGATTGCTCCAAAAAAGGGATTTTTTTTATATCGCGGAAACTGAGAGGGAGAGAAAGTGCCAAGCTTGGCGTCGACTCCACTCCATGTGAGTTGCAGACAAGAAAGGAAAGATGAAAACGAGGTTGATAACTCAATCAACGCCGTCCATCAGAGGCTTAACGGCGCCGTTGGACTGAAACAATTACCTATCATTAATGGAGTATTTGGAAATAAATATAGGATTAATAATTTACTATGTAAGCCAAAGTTTAAAATTTTGGTTAGGGCTGCAAACGAACCGAGCCGAGCCGAGTATGTGAGTGTTCATGTTTGTGTTTGTTTAACATTAGCTTGTTCATGTTTGGTTCGTGTTTGATTCGAGCTTTATTATTTGTGTTCATGTTTGATTCGTTTAATTTAAGTGTGTTCATGTTTGGTTCATGTTCGTTTGTTTAGTGCTTATCGAGCTTTAAACGAGCTATGTTCGTGAACATATCTCGCAAACAATTTATTGAACAAGCAAACATTAAATTTGTTCATGAACATTCTAAACAAACAATCTAACAAACATGGACAAATATGAAATATTTCTTGTTCATGAAATGAAATTTCTAAAATAAAAGCAGTTGTATATTTAAAATGAAAATATGATTAATTTATATGAACATATGTTATAATATTTTATTACTTTAAAATTTATTAATAAAAAATAATTATATTAAATTATGGTATAATTAAAGTTTTTATATTTAATCGAACTCGAATCAAGCTTTTTATTGAGCTTGTTCATGAACATCAACTGATGTTGTTCACGAACATAAACGAGCTGAACGCATTAGTGTTCAAGCTTGTTTATTTAAGAATCGAGTATTTAAAATATTGTTCAAGTTTGTTTGTTAGTTAATTAAACGATCACGAACGAGCTTTAATCGAACCGAACAACGAGTAGTTCATCGAACGTTTGGTTCACTTGCAGCCCTAATGTAAACCAATGTAGTAGTAATAAGTAAAGCTTTTGAGCATCTTTGTGATTGATTTGAGAGGAGGCCTCAAGGACTAGTTTGAAGTTTGGCCAGAGTGAGGGAGGGTTGATCAGTACCTAAAGATTGAACATGATGACGAAGGCTTCATTTGAGATGACTTTTTTATTGCTTTTTAAAACAGATTTATGACGTCTCTGAAAAAAATCTCAACGGAGGCTCTACTTCAGCTTTGCCATAAGGACTGGGGAGGGGTTGGAAATTTTAAGAGGGTATCGAGTCTCCCGCAAGCGCTGGGCTTTCAATCATATTGAATTTCTAGTTCGATTTCATTCCAAAAGTTTAACTGGCATGGAGTTCGAGAGAGTTGAGAAGGTGGTGACTAAAGCTTCATTTGGGATGGTTTTCTTTCTGCTTCTTAAAACAACTTTATAGTATAAAAATTTTAATTTTTGCACTAAAAAGCTGCTTTATGAAGCAGTAAGAAAGCTGTCCCAAACGAGCCTAATACTTTATTTGGGACGGCTTTCTTACTGCTTCTTAAAGCAGCTTTTTAATAATAATAAAAATTTGTACTAGAAGGCTGCTTTAAGAAACAATAAGAAAACTGTCTCAAATGAAGCCTAAGAAACAAGAAGAAACAAACCTCAGCAAAGGTTAAGCGAAGTTCAGAATTGGTAAGAAAAATTTTGCCCACCCTCAAAAATGAAGCTGGATCCGCCCCTGTCAGCAAAGGTTAAGCGAAGTTCAGAATTGGTAAGATTGTCAGTTGCCAGCAGAATCCCAATATTATTGGCCACCTTGGAAAGAAAGTTTATTTCAATAGATTATCATAATCCAGATTTGCACATACATAATCACTTCTCTTCATTTCTACCTCTAAAAAGTACTTTATAGCTTCATAGATATTAATATATCTGCAATATATTTACGATAATAATTGCAACAATGGCTTCCATTTTTCAAAAGAAAAAAAAAAAGAGGACATCCAAATCAAAATTTTGATAAGGATGAATCTGAAAACTATCAAATCTACTTTAACATGATTGCAGCATGGTAATTGTTAATACTGCACTAATCTTAAAGCAAATTCAAGAACTTTAAATCTCATCATATTCCAAATGCTACTATGAAATATCAGAAGATAATGATATTGCTAATACAATTCAAGATTAATAAACTAAAAAAATTGTATAAAAAAAAAGATTTACCAGATTTCTATGCACAATTCATGCAGGAATATTAACAACAAATGATATACTTGATTAAATTTACTGAATTCATCAACAATTATCTTCCTTTTGATGAAATTTCTGAAATTGGTGAGGATTGACAGCTCTTCACTTTCTCTTTAGATTCCATTAACATTAGAATGACTTGCCACATTGAAGGCCTATCTAATGGAGACATATTTGTACATAACAAAGCAATTTTCAAAACAATAATCATGTGATCGACAATATCGTTATCTTGAAGATTTAATTTACTATCAAGAACTCCAGAATTTAAAGAATGGTCTTTAATGTAATTTCTGACCCATGTAGCAAGATCTCCTCCTTGTTCTAATGGCTGTACAGGTGTTCTTCCAGTGAGCAGCTCCAACAGGACAACACCATAGCTGTAGATGTCACATTTTTCTGTAACTTTCATTGTGTATGCATATTCTGAAAAGAAAACAGAAGAAAAAAAGTGAATTTGGATATGAATAGATTTGTATATGATCATAAACAACAAAAGAAAATTTTTTGATGTTTTGTACTGTAATGAGTGGAGAAAGCATTCTGTATCATGAGCTTTAACTATTGATTTTGGGTCATTCAGCGCCACCTTTGAAGAGAAGGATGGCAACGAGATTACTGAAGTATAACACTACCTATCTAAGCATTTGCTAAGGATTTGGTTCATCAAAATATGTTTTTAGGAATGGAATTTGCCTGCAACAAAGCATGCCACTGAGCTGCTTGAAGAAGTTGATCATGCAAAGCCACCTTTCAAGAGGGTTAATTATTCTATGCAGACGCTGAATGCCGTCCGGAGACCAACCAGAATGCGCCACGTCACCCCTTCGCTCGATACCACAGCTCGGTACTGCTCGGTACCGTTTGGTAGCACTGACGTGGTGCATTCTGGTTGGTTTCGGGACGGCGTTTTATGTCCGGCCTCCATACATAATAATTTTTCTTTCAAGAGAGGGATCACAACGAGATTACTGTAGTACAACACTACCTATCAAAATGTATTCTTACTAAACATTTGAGTCATCCAAAAATTTTTTTTTTGGGGGGAATTGAATTTGCCTACAACAAAAGGATCTTTCTATCTCAAAGAAACTAAGCCAGTGAGCTGCTTGATGAAATTGATCTATTAAATTATAGACCTTTTGATTCTCCCATTGACACTTAGAAGGTTACATCTTGATTAATTAAACATAGTTTGTGCAGTCTCTTTATTTTTTTGCACTTTGATTTATTGTATATATAGGGATTCTCTATTGATGATAGACAAAAAATTAGTCCCCCTCTTATAATTATTATTATAAGTAAAAGAAAAATTCTAACATATCATCTCATTATTTTAAAAGTATTTGATTATTAGAAATTTTATTTTTTAATTAGAAGATATGACTAAGGCTTCATTGGGATGCTTTTTTTACTGCTTCTTAGAGCAGCTTTCTAATAAAAAAATTAAAATTTTTGTACTAGAAAGCTGCTTTAAGGAGTGATAAAAAAGTAATCCTAAACGAAGTCTAAATTAACAAAAAAAAAGTAATTGTTCAAAAAAGACTCACCTGGTGCAATATAACCGTAGGATCCGACGACGGCGGACATTGATTTCAACTGTGGCATGTCGATCACCTTTGCTAATCCAAAATCACCAACATGTGCTTCAAAATTATCATTTAGTAAAATGTTATTTGATTTGATATCTCTATGAATGATGTGTGGCTTGCAATCATGATGAAGATAAGAGAGTCCCTGAGCAGCTCCAAGAGCTATCATAAATCTTGTGTCCCAATCTAGATCAAAAGATTTTCCATGAAGCACCTCGCCGAGACTCCCTCTTGACATGTACTCATAGAGAAGAAGATTCGAGCCTTGATGATAGCAGTAACCATACAACTTCACAATATTTCGATGCTTGATCTTCCCAAGTGTCAAAATTTCAGCATGAAAACTATTGTCTACTGTGCTTCCCTCTCTATTAGATGCAAGTTTCTTCACAGCAACAACCAATCCAGTCTTCATAACAGCTTTATAAACTGTTCCACAAGCTCCCCTTCCAATAACATAACCTTCATCAAAATTATTTGTTGCTGTAATCAAGTCACTGAAAGTAAAGCCTTCCTTTGGGCTTATGCACAGGCTAGATTCTTCAGAAGAAAGTTGCAAATCTTGCAAAGGAGAAACATTCTTAACAGGCTTTCTTAGAAAATGTAATATAACTGCAATCAGAAAAAGTGAAATTCCTCCAATGGCAGCTGAAATTATGGCGACAATATGACCAATGGGATTACCAGTGGATGTTGGATCAGGAGAAGGTGAAAGAACAGGAGGTATACTACAGCCTGTAAGAGGTTCACCACATAGTGCCTTATTTCCTATAAAGCTGCTTGAGGCCATATTTCGCAGCAGCGAAAGCGAAGGAATAGGTCCACTTAGATCATTGTATGAGACATTCAAACCAAGCAAACTTGATAGATTGACCAAAGCGGAGGGGATTTCACCAGTTAAGTGGTTATTGTTAAGTAAAAGGTACTCCAATAGGGCAAGATTTCCAAGCTCAGGGGGAATATTTCCTGAGAGAATGTTAAAGCTGAGATTCAAGGCAATCTGCAGGCTTGAAAGGTTTCCCAGTTCGCTCGGAATTCCTCCAGAAAATAGATTGCCACCCATCTGCAATTCAGTTAAATGAGAAAGATTTCCTATAATGGAAGGTATTGCTCCTGAGAGCTTATTATCAGAAAGAATAAGCAGCTCTAACTGCTCCAGAGTTCCAAGCTCATTTGGTAATTCGCCGATAAACCCATTCTGGCTGAGATCAAGCCTTTGTAGCCTCTTGCAACTCACAATCTGTGGTGGAATTCTTCCTACAATTTGGTTGGATGAGATGTTAAAGAAAACCAACTGTGATAGATTACCAATCTCTAGAGGAAGCTTTGATGTAAAGAAATTAACTGGAAGAGCAAGTCTTTGCAACACTTTGCAGTTCCCTATCTCAGGAGGTATAGGGCCACTGAGCCTGTTCTCATCCAACTCAACAACAGTCAAATTCTCAAGCTTGCATAAATCAGCCGGGAAACTACCAATGAGGCTGTTATTCCCGAGACGAATTTGCACCAACGATTTGCAAGATATGACTCCACTCGGTATTTTTCCGGTGAGCTGGTTAGACCAAAGATTTAACATAATCAGATTAGAATGACTGCATATATTGCTCGGTATCGGACCGGTAAGATTATTGCTCGAAAAATCCACAACCCAAAGACGGCTATAAACACCGAGTTTTTGAGGAATAGGACCTGAAAGCATGTTGTCAAAGAGCTGCAACTGAAGCAACTCAGTCAAGTACTGCAACCCAATTGGAATTGGTCCTGTGAGAAAATTGATTGAGAGATCGAGCTTTGTCAGGTTTTTCAACTCACTCAGCTCAGGTGGGATGATACCTGTAAGCTGATTCTGGAAGAGGTATAACAGATACAAGCTCTTTAAATTTCTCAGCTGCAATGGAATTCCTCCAACCAAAAAATTCTCTGAGAAATCAATTTCCTTTGCCCGAGAAAGGTTTCCTATCTCTTTTGGTATAGTTCCATTCAGTCCATTTCTATAAAGGTATAGATTCTTTAGATTCTTCAAGTTTCCAATCTCAACAGGTATACCACCAACCAAATTATTCTGGTAAAGTGCAACGGTCACCAGGCTTGTGCAATTCCCCAACTCCTTTGGCACCATTCCAGAAAACTGATTACCCCAAATAATCAATTCTCTAAGCCACTTCAACATCCCAAGCTCTTTAGGGACCTCACCTCCAAGTTGATTTTGAGCAAGACCAAGAAATTCCATGCTCTCGCATCCCCCGATTTCCACCGGAATCATTCCAGAAATCATGTTTTTCCCTGCTCTGAAGGTCGCTAAATACTTGAGTTTGCCAATGGATCTAGGCAGGACTCCGCTGAGATTGTTGGTGTATGCTAATAACTCCACAAGCGACGACAGGTTGCCGATCTCTTCCGGAAGAGATCCCGAGAGTTTATTATTGCAAATGTTGCAGTTTATCAAGGAGGCCAGGTTGCCTATTTCAGGAGGGATCTGACCTTCAAAATTATTGTTGTTTAGGTACAAAATTTCTAACTTTGAACACCTTCCAATCTCTGGAGGTATATTTCCTGAGAAACTATTGAAGGAGAGATCAAGATAAGATATATGAACCAAACCACCAATGCTAGGAGAGAGGCTTCCTGATAAATTCAATGAATTGAGATCAAGAGAGATTATAACTGGATCATAGTCACTTGAGCAGTTCACACCAATCCAGCCACAAGGAGTTTCATCATCAGGTTTCCAACTATCAAGGTGTCCTAGATTATCCATCAATTCTTTTTTTATATTCAGGAGATACTGCCCTTCCATGTTAAGCCCTTGAGAGCCATGAACAAGTAGGAAAACCAGTAGCACTACTAAATTGAATGATGAAACCGAGATATTCGATAATTTAGCCATCAAGGTAAGTAATCTGAATTCAGAAAGCAAAATTCCAAAATCAAAACAATAATTTTCTTTCAATGATGAAGCTCTAAGCTACTCCTTCCAAGCAAACTCATTTCCTGAATTGAGTGTGGCAAATAAACAAGGTGATTGAAATCAAATGACAGTATTGACATGAAAAAACAAGTAGTGAAACAAGTAGAGATTCTAACTAAGCAACTAGCACAGAAGTATATAATATTTTAGAATTCAAATAATCACATACCTCCATGGTTCTGAAGCATTAAAATACACAATGCTGATAGCTCCATTAACTCTGAAAAGCTCTGAAAACTTTTTCATGAACTAAAGAATCATAGCATGGTATCTTCCAATTCTTCCTCGGAGAGAGCAACCAGAACTCAATTATAAAGATGAATTGCAAATGATACTCTCATAGAATACAGGATCTCACAACTCCCATAAGCTTTAGCTCCTGACTTTCAAAGCACTCCCGTAAAGCTCTCAAACTACTTACAACTAAAAGATTTCCTCCCATAGAAACTCAAACTACTTTACTTTTGCCAAAGCCTGAATCCCCCTACAAATGCTCAGAGTAGAGACTAAGTAGGAATCAAAAACCCACCAATCCAGAAAAAAAGAATCAAACAAAAACAAGTCACGGCTCCCAAATGGACCTGAAAAAGTAACCTTTTCTGATTTCCAAGCGGCATTCCATAAAAATGGCACCTTTATTTTCCCTCCCCCAACTCCTTATTCATCATACTTAGCATATTCCTCCTCTTCCCCCCTCCTCTCTCGTCGCCGTCGATTCAAAAAAGTAAGCAATCGAAAGAAAAAAAAGGCAAAAATATTAATGAAATCAAAGCCAAGGATACGCGAGAGAGAGAGAGAGAGAGAGAGAGATAATGCTCAATGGCAGGCAAGCACGCTTTCAAGCTTTCAACTTTTCATCTCCATCCATCTTTCTGTCCTAATCGACAGGCCCCCACCCCACTTCTTTTCCTTCTTCCCTTTTCCCTCCGCTGCTTCCCCTTTGTTCTTCGCTTCTTCTTCCACCTTTCTTCCTGCTGTAAACAATATAATTATTAATTGAAACGAAAGAAATATTACTCCTTTTCCGCCTCTCTACGTTGCCGCCAGGACCATAAGAAGTGGCAACTGACTGGCCTTTCCATGCTTTAATCGAATTCTAAGGAGATAAGGACAGAAGAAAAAATGGCATCTTTGGTGCCAAAGCAACGAGAAAATATGGTTTGGTGCTTCGTTGTCTTCCTGATTGAATAGTTTCAAGTCACGGGCTTTTAAAACAAATTGGAATTCTTATCCCCTAATCTGATCAAGAAGGACAAATCCCCAAATATTGAATTTAGCTGATTCAAAGGATTTTTTGTCCATTTTCTTTTGGACACCATCGTTCAAGAATTTCAGGAGCAAAATCAGACTATTATTATTATTATTATTATTGGATTATTCAAGCAATTATTTATGCTTTTGCCAAAGAGGAATCCGAGCTCTTTACCGTTAATAAATCATAGCCCGAATTCCCCATTTGTTTCTTGCTCAAGAGCCCCACGCAGTCCTTTGTTAGTGCTTTCCACTACTTTGATTTTAATCTATAATATTTTTTTATTATTTGCAAAGAAGTTGAGTTGATAATAGAGAGACTAAACTTAAATGATGGTGGAAAATATCAAGAGAAATCTATTAATAAATTTTGACTTATTAAATTATTTGTCAAAATATTATTTAGTGACTTCAATCTACGGGGGAAGAGGTTAATCTAATTCACCGATGATCAATTATATCTTGATTGGAAGATAGCAGATGCCATGTGCTTCTCAAATCAAATGGTTGACCGTTGATGAGAACATCAAATGCTATGTGATGAAAAGTAATCAGCTTAATCATTCTCATAATATAAGAGGATATAGAGCAATCAAGAAGAAAAAAACAATGGATATTAGTGTTTGGTAAAACATTGGAGGTTTAATGATCAATGAGACGCATCCATATATTAAGCGATAATTAGTGGTCAACTTAACTGATCTTCTAATTAAATGGGTATTCATATATTAAAAAATGATTTCACATATCAATTGCTACTAAATGCCGATTATTGGCGGGTGTCAGATAATGGTCGATAAAGAATATTAGAAGGTAAATGATGATGATTAATTGAGTCAGTCCTTTTTTCAAAAAGGAGGAGAAATGTTATGACTGATAAGATAGGCATAAGCTATCTATGGCCGATCAACATTATTCGTTAACAAGCATTAAAAGATGATTAATGGGGAATAAAGAAAATCATGTGGTAATGAGTGTTCATCTTTATCACTGATAGGATTCAACGACTCGAAAGATGAACATAAAAAATTGATGGTTAACAAACATCAATCATTGTTAGGTCTTAGATATTAGTCAACATATAACATCAAATCTTAGAAGATTATGTGCTGTCTTCTTAGTCATGATATGATAAGAGATTAGGGGGCTGGTATTTTAGAAATTTGACATAAAATAAACTCAATGTATAATTCTACATGCATGATTGCATGAAGGCTTGAGAGCAAAGCTCTTTTATAATCCTTCAAAGCTATGATGATATTTTAATGGCTTCTTTGACCCAATGTTGTTGATTACAGCATAACAAAACCTAATTTTGGATAAGATTAGGCACCGAAAAATAAAGAATTCAAAGTTAGAAAATGCCAACTTACTTTAATTTATTTTTATTAAAGACAAAAATCCATTGGCCAATATCTTATTTTAAAAAAAAGTGTTTAGTTCTTATTATTTTTTAAAGAGGAATATAATAAAAAATTTATCATTTAATCATATAATTTAATCATATAAAAATATATTTAAAAATTTTTAATTTTATTTTGATTAAATTTTGATCTGAATATTCTCACATATATTCTACTAATTAGAGAAATTAATAATAATAAATTTGCTATAATGTTTATTCTACTAAGGGAAATTTTTTTTTCATTGTAGCAATTGTCCATCCTTAGATCTTTCTAGATCTTCGGCTGAAGTCTTTCATGTCACATTATTCTTAAAGGGAAAAGTAGGAATATTTAAAATGTTCATGCTACAGAATCTCTTTGGATTTCTTGATTTGGGTTTTTTTTTAGGTCAATTAAGGCTAATTCTTAGCTTTGAATAACTTTCTAATTATTTTGATTTATAGGTTGCAACCATAATTTCTGTTTGACTATTGTTTTTTTTTACTTTCAAAAATTATTGTACTGGGAAGCTGCTTTTTACAACAGTTTTAAAAATTAATTTCTTTATAACAGCTTTACAAAACAATAAGAAAATAGTCTCAAACGAAGCCTAAGGCTTCATTTGGGACGGCTTTCTTATGGCTTCTTAAAGCAACTTTTAAAAAGAAAAATTTTAATTTTTATACTAAAAATCTGCTTTAAGAAAGCAGTCCCAAACCAAGACTAAGGCTTCGTTTGGGACGGCTTTCTTATTGCTTCTTAAAAAGTTTTCTAGTTTAAAAATTTACTTTTTTATACTGGAAAGCTGCTTTAAGAAAAAGTAAAAAAGCCATCTCTAACGAAGCCTAAGTCTAGTGAAGCTTGAAGTAATTTTAGGTATAAAGCTTAGGCTATAAGTGCTTTTATAAAATCATGAAGTGTGTGCATTTATCCTTGAAATAAGATTATGCGAATGTTTTCATACTTATATGGTGATTCATATACTTAGAATGCCTCTTATGCTAAAGTATTTGAGTAAATATATATATCCTTTGTGATCAACATGCAAATTAATTACTTTCTCTTAACTCATAACTAATAGATATTTCTTATTTGTGTGTGAACAATTATATGAATTTGGTGTTTGATAATCTAATTAAACAATAGCTTATATAATTGTGATGAATATTTACAATATGTGAAATTCCTCTCATTGTAATCTCATCAAACTCTTACCACCTCACCATATTAGCTTTAGTAACATTAGTTTTTAATTTATAGTGGCAAACATTGACAAACACCATTTATTGACTTTTTTTAGCAAAATTAATGAGATCTTTAAATCCAAATACAAAAAATAAAAAATAAAAAATAAATAAAGAAATAAAAATTTACAAAATTATTCTTGTAATATTTGAAAAGTATTCAACACACAATTGTGTTTATTTTAATAAGTTTGAATTTGAGATACTTAAGTTTCATTTAGAATAACTTTCTTACTGTTTTCTAAAGTAATTTTTTAAGACAAAAATTTTTTGTACTAAAATCTCCTTTAAAAAGTAGTAAAAAAGCTGTCTCAAATGAATCCTTAGACTTCAATTGGGATAATTATTTTATTAATTTTTAAAGTAAATTTTTCTTAAAAATTTCTTGAAAATATTTGAAAAAAATTTGGCCAAAAGGTGTCCCAAAAGAAGCCTTAATTTCCTTCTCTTATGGACCACATCAAGCTGTTTAACTCTCTTAGAAGGGAATCTGAAGTCTGAACAAAATCTATAAAGAAGATAGCATTCAATCTCTTTTCTTATATTTCTCTCCCCCCAAAAAAAAAAATTCTCCTCTTTTTTTTTTTTCAAAATAATTCAAAATACAATAAGAGTTTCCTTTTAAGATGCTATAATTTTTTGAAAGATGATTATAAAATTATTATATGAAGTAATTAAATCTTTTTTGAAATTATTATGAATATTATTAAAAATTTTGACACTAATTTTCTTACAAAATCATACTCTAACTGATTTATTGTATGTTTAGGGACTCTACAATTTTTTAAAAGATAGTTGTAAAATTATTTATGAAGAAAAATAAGCTTTCAAAGCTATTTAAATATTATAAATATATAGATTTAAATAAACAATAAGTTTCTTAAAGCTATCATTTTATTAAATAATCTAAATTATAAAAATTAGCTTTCTCACAACGAATAAAAAATTAAAATAAAAAAAATGTGACAAATGAAAATTGTAATTGTGATATGAAATGCAAAACAACATGAAAATAACTTTAAACAAATTCTATTATTCAAAAGCAATTTCTCAAACAAATATAAGCAAAAACGCTTTATCAAACAGATCCAGAGTGTGGAATTGTGAGTTCAAATTCCACAACTTTCCCAACACCTAACTTTCTCAAAAGTCAGAAAGTTAGGTAACACTGATTATCCATATCAAATAATGTAAAATCTATGCATAGACTAATTTCATTTTATTGTCTTTTTAAAGTACTTTAGTACAATTTTTTTGAATTAAATTTTTTATATTACAAAATTATTTTAAATAACAGTAAAAAAGATATCTCAAATAAAAAACTAAAAGATATTGAATCACAAAATGCATCAACATGTATTTCAAACCTTTAAATTTATATTAAAATAAGCATAATTCTTTAATGCAAATCTAAGGCTTCGAACGACAATTTCGAGTTTTACATCAGAATATCTTAACATAAATTTCCATAATTAAGCTCGAGGACGAACTCAACGGCGTCAACCCAACTTGCAATATTCCACGTAAAATTAGATCATTATTCATACAATTCAAAATGATTGATTTGTTTGGGACGACTTTCTACTGCTTATTTAAAAATAAAAACTTTTTAGTATTCAAAAATTAAACTTCATATAAAAAACCTGTTTAAATAAGTCGGAACTCATTTGAAACAGCATTTTTTATTATATTTTAAAGTAGATTTTTTATAAAAAAAAGCTGTTTAGAAGCAATAAGAAGTTGCTAAAATGAAATTTAATTGCTAAGTATATCATATATTTTTAATTATTAATATATTTTTACACTAAATCAAAAAGTTAAAAAATAATAATTTATTATGCTGCGGACCTCCACTTTATAAAGTTAAGGGTAGGGATCTTTGTTAGAATTGACAGTTAATTAAATAGAACATTAACGTGAATGCGCGACACCGTTGTGATACCAAAAAATTAGTACATTATATAGATTATGGAAGCACGTCGTTGTATTTTATTATTAAGCAAAAAATACAATAAGAGGAGACTTATCTTAATAAATAATTTATTTTTTTTAATAAAAGAGATTAACATATATATGAATATGAGTAAAGCCAGTTTTGTTTTTATAGATTTTTTAAGGGAATGTTATGAATAAATTATTTCTGCTGCGGAGTTCGATGGGAAGAACCATTCAGACCATGTGAGTGTACATACAGTTTGTATATTGTGTCTATTTTACTGATTTGGGCTTTTATCCTAAATTCATATTTTTTGTACCAGACACTGAACATGCTGACTACTTATACATATTATAATATTTGTACTATCAGGTGTTCTCTCTTGTTACATATAATAGCACGGTGGATGGGTTCTACGGGAACGTTCCTCCAGGATATTTCTTCTCCTTTATGGGAATACGCATAATCCGTTCAAAAATTGATTATGCTTTTTAATATTTGATTAATCATTTTTTACTCTTTTATCTGGCTGTTTTTCAATATAAATTATTGCAATGGAGAAATGATTTTTACTAAATTAGAAATTTTTTAATATCTAAGGTAACTTTAAGGGTCTGTTAAGGTACGAATTTGTAATTTTCTCATAACGGTGAGTTGTAAAATTGCTATGAAGAAACATTTTTTCTTATTAAAATGATGGTAAAAATACCATTCTATTTATTGGAACGCAGTGAAAAATAATTATCAACATTAATTGTGATGATTATAGGATACTTATGTATAAATAAAGATAACAAAGAAAACGCTTACCGAAATAAAGCCCTAGATAAATCAGTTTATTTGTAAAAAAGTAACATAATCATATTTTGAATAAGTTTAAAAGTTAAAATATTGGTTTTCGGCAATAGCTTTAATAAGCTTCTTAACTGAAATATTTTAAGTATTTATGTGAATGTTGATTATTATATTATATAAATTTGTTGATATTAATTTGAGATAATATAATGTTGATTATATATATTTTATTTGGTCAGAGTCACCTAAATGTGAAGATCTACGTTCGGTACTTTTACTGTGTAAAAAAGGTGACAATATGTGTTTATTACTCTTTATCGCGCGGTGTTACGACGCCGACGACCCGACCGGACCAGGAAACCCGAAATTGCTATTCGCGTATTGCTAGATTTGCTTGGCCATGATTTGATCAGAATGTCTTATCTTACACAGATTTGACAAAGGCTGCTATTTTTTTTGTTGGTTTTGTTTATGAAGGGCAATTTTTTTCGAAGCGCTGATGAAACAGTGGAGGTCAAGGCCGAGAGGTGGAGCGGAGAGGGAAGAATAAACTATTGAGGCCTTACGGAAAAAGAGTGGGTCATTAGAACAGGTCATCCCCATCATGGAAATTGGAGCGGACTACTTGAGATGGGTGCTTGCCGATGATGATGAATGCTTGATATAGCATTAACAGTTTTGGCATATCTATGTATATGAAAGTGGACAATGTGGTTATTCTTTGCATATTTGTTTAGAGGAATGAATGTTTATTTGGAATTCTAATTTTAGCTTGTGTTAACTAAGAAACATGCACCATCATGTTATGTTTAGGCTTCGTTTGGGACAGCTTTTCTTTCTGCTGTCTTAAAGAGATTTATAGTATATATTTTTTTAATTTTGTAGCTAAAAACTGGGCTTTAACGAAGTAGAAGGCAAATATTTTCATCTTGTGATTGCCGGACCGTCAAGTATAGTGCAATATGTTATTACTCTTTACCGCACGGCCCAACAACCCAACCCGAAACGGACCCGGGATTGTTATGTTCGCGTAATTGCTAGGTATTGGTCGATTTTGCTCAGCAATAACGAGAATACATTCTGTGAAAGACCAATACAGAGTTTTCTCGGTATTTGGTTCAACAGAGCGGTATTTCTTCTTTTTTGGCCAAGCAATATCTACAGCAATACGCGAACATAGCAATTTCGGGTTCCGGTCCGGGTCGGGTCGTCGGCCGCGCGATAAAGAGTAATAAACATGACACTATTACTAACGTCCGAACGTAGATCTCCATTAGGTGACCTGACAAATAAATATATATAATCAACATTAATATATCATTAATATCAACTATTATATATAATATTATATATAATCAACATTAACATAAATTTAAAATATTCAGTTAAAGAAGCTTATTAAGCTATTGCCGAAACAATATTTTAATTTTAACTTATTCAAAATCATGAATTATGTTACTTTTTTTACAAATAACTTTTTCTTAGGCTTTATTTGGGTAGGATTTCTTGTGTTATCTTGAAATTTATAGATACATATAATTCACATATGTTTTTGAATAGATTAATTTTTTCACTGGTTCAACTAAGGAAGCTATTTTTTACTCATCATTTTCAAAAAAAAATGTTTTCTTCATAGCAATTTTACAACCACCGTTATAAGAAATTACAATCGTCCTAAACAGACTAAAGTTACTATAGTATTAAAATCTAATAGTAAAAAATCATTCTCTCATTGCAATAATTTTTAAAACAGCAATAAAATAGTAAAAAAATGAAATAATCAAAATATAAAAAAGCAATAATCAATTATGACGGATTATGCTATACCCATAAAGGAGAAATTATTCGTGAGGACTCCGGATGAGAACATCACGTGTGTATACATATTGTGCAAAGTTGATACAG